TGGACTCAGGACCCTGCCACGCCATGGACTCAGGACCCTGCCACGCCATGGACTCAGGACCCTGCCACGCCATGGACTCAGGACCCTGCCACGCCATGGACTCAGGACCCTGCCACGCCATGGACTCAGGACCCTGCCACGCCATGGACTCAGGACCCTGCCACGCCATGGACTCAGGACCCTGCCACGCCATGGACTCAGGACCCTGCCACGCCATGGACTCAGGACCCTGCCACGCCATGGACTCAGGACCCTGCCACGCCATGGACTCAGGACTCTGCCACGCCATGGACTCAGGACTCTGAGGACCGTACAATGCACTGGACTCGGGACCTTGCAACACAATGGACTCAGGACTCTCCAACACAATGGATTCAGGACTCTGAGGAATGTGCAATGCAATAAATGCAGGACTCTGCAACGCAATACACTCAGGACAGCCAGCATAATCCTTCGGCCCCCCAGACCAGTCTTCCCATTCCCTCCCCAGCAACATCATCCTCCTCTCTCCACTCTCTGGAGCTGCGCTCATCTCTGCCCATTGTCTGCAGCTCCAGAGAGTGGAAACAGGAGGATGCCGCTCCCAGCACTCACCAACTCCGTCCTCATCTGGCCACTCGGCTCCTCCTCTCAACCACCTGCCAATCACTGCCCCATACCCTGCACCCTCAGGTGGTCACCTAAGGTAGCAGTGACCCCGGCTGTCAACATGCTGGCAGTCCCCCAGCCCAGTTTGCTCCAGCCACCAGCAGTACTGCTGCTCCTGCCTGCGGTTAAGATGGCCCTAGTTGTTTTAGTCACAAAAAAGAAAGACTTCAGGTTTCATAATCTAATCTATTTGCATAGCCCAAACATACATGGGACATTTGCATAGCCCAAACATACATGATAATTCAGTGGCTTTGCTAGGCCTGGGCATTTGGGTCAACAGACCTGGGTCTTGGATACAAACACGATAGTACATATGTTAAACTTTAATACACCACATAACTGATGACTAGGGCTTGGCGAATATGCCTGGGTTCAGTTTGGGTACAGTTTTGCGAATCTTGTTCAAAACTGGCAACTTTTCAGCTACCCCAATTGAAGTCTATAGGGGCTATTCTTGTTGTTCAGTTTTGGTCATTTGTAGGGTTCTTGTGACACATTATTGGTTCTATGCACTACCTTATAGGTTGTTCCCTATTTCTACATTCCTACGCGCTGTAATATGCCCAGGTGGGAACCATTCCCATAGGCAATTATTGGTTTTCACATGTTGAGCGTTTTACAGCGCGTAGGTTTGAACCAGGCCTTAGATGAACTTGCAGAACTCCCAGACTCTGTGGCTGCTAGTTAGCAGGGGACTCTGTCTAGTGCGTGGTAGTTTGGGCTGTTTGGTGAAGGGGCAGAAAAAAGAGAATTTCCAGTTATCTCCGTTTTAAAAATGGGCACAATGTGTTGTCACATATTGGAAGCCTATACAAATCTCTCTATCATGATTGTCTCCCTGTAGCACAATACTATCTGGTAAAATGCATTTCTCTCTGGCACAGCTACTTCCGATAATGTGTATCACCAACTACCATAAAAATATCTGGTAAAATGGTATATCTGCAGCAGAAAGGTTTCCTGTAATGTGTATCTTCCTGTAGCATATCTGTCTCTCGTGCAATGCATCTTGCTGTAGCACAATTGTCTTAAGTAATGTGTTTCTCAATGTGCTGTTCATCTACTAGCTTTGAGAAGGGAGGTGGGCAGATCAGGCAGGAGGGAAGTGACTGTACTGTGTGTTTGTGGAAACACATACAGCTTACTAGCACACACAAGGGTGGCTCCATAAGACCCTGCAAAGGAAAGGAGCCACACTAAAACAGGATATCAGGACCAGTGCTCAGGGAACCAGATGATTCTGCATGAAGCTAAAACATTTAAACATCAAAAAGCAGCATTTATTGTGGTTTAATCATTTATTGTATTTAAGTGATTTAGTCAGCATTTGAAAAAGCTTAAAACATTTTGACTTTAATATCACTTTAACACTTGCATCCAATGCACTACACTTACTTTTTATGTGAATATTAAACTCTGCACTCTTCTTCATTATGCGGTTGTTGGATGTTGTCACTTCACAGTAATATTTCCCTGAATCCTTTAGCTGAGCAAACTGAACTTCATATTGATCAGATAAACTGAAACTCTGCACATTCTGATCATCCTTATAAAAAGCAAAATGGAGTTCTCTTTTTTGTCTGAGCGGATTCAGAAATGTGTTACATGTCAGGGTCATGTTATCACCCTCTAACACCAGATGTGTTGTCACTTTTATTTGTGGAGATGGGAAAAGGCCTGCAAGACACAAAATACCATATGAAACCTTTGCTTCAACATCAATGTTTATTTAAAATTAATGGAAGTACTAATCACACGGCACTGCCAATTATATGAGGCCATCTGGGTTAAGCTGGCCATACGCCCCTCAGCACTTATAAATACCCTTTTGGTCAGACGACACACCCAATATTGTTTTATAGAATTCTGGAAGTTCTGGCAGGGATTCTGCAAGTAAAATTGGAAGTCCTGGCAGGGTTCTGCAGGAACCATTGCAAGTCTTCGCAGGAAATCTGTGAGTACCATTGGACATCCTAGCAGGTATTCTGGAAATCCTGGTTGGGGTTCTGAGACTAGGAGTTCTGGAAATCCTGGTAGGCATTCTGTCTTTAAATTATGTATTTAGCTTGTTGTTTTGCTATGCACTCTAAAGTATTTACACATTGTGAACACAAAGCAAAATCAATTTAAAAATACTCACTTCTATAGCTATAGGTTCTGTGAAGAAATTAATTTTCAAAGTTCACAAGAGAGGCAATTAAATTTCAGCTTTTATCCTATTACTTTCTTTTGCAGTACAATCTTGGCAGCCTGTCACTCCTATAATTTAAACACAGAGCAGATGTTTCTAAACTGTTAGAAAGACTGAACCCCAAATTCAGAGAGGGTAATTTATCAAAACTGGAGCAGCTGTGCATGGCAACCAATCGTTTTCTCTCTTTTATTTTCAAGATTAACTGAACAAACTGAAGAGAGAAGCTGACTGGTTACTATAGGAAACTGCTTCAGATGCTGTCTGCTCCAATCTAAAAAAATATCCCAGAAGCTTTATTACTTTACAGTACAAGCAGCTTACTATCCACTGATGATGTTGGAGGTTGACTTGTTTTAAAGTTCTTGTGCTTGTTAAGAGTAATGCAGAAAATTGGAACTGAACCACCAAGCATCGCACCCCCATAGAATAGCAATAAACCAGTGTATGTTTTGATTGGGACTTTTAGGGTGCCAAACCACAATAGATTAAAATATTTATATAAAAAGTATACATTTATTAGAAGCCATGTATAAAAACAATAGTTAAAACATTACATAGCAAGTGTTGTGTGTTCCATCAACATATGCAGTTGTCTTCAGAATACAAAGAATACCTCTCTGGGCCTCTCGCGTTGATATACACCCAAATTCTTTCACAATATAAGCTTTCTGTATATACATAATTCACAGGTCAGAGAAGTCCAGTCTTTTATGCGTTTCACCTATGCTTCTTCAGGAAAAAGGGTAACTAGCAATTATAACAAGTGCATTTGATGGTGATAGGATTCACACACTTGAAGGAAGACCCATAGGGGTCTATTCACAAAACTGCTGAAGGATCTAGCCATAGCTTCGGCTGATCCTTTGGCTAGCTTCAGCCCCAGGACCCTTTCGGTTCTACTGAATTTTTCACTATAGCCCGTACAGCTCCCGAAGTCGGCCGAGCGTCTCAATCGAGCCAAAGCCAAAGCTGGCCGAACGGCGGAGCCAGCCGTCATCCCACAGTTGGCTCCGGCCACTTGCAGAGACAGATTAGCATCTGGGGAGAGTAATGACAGATCAGCGTCCCTGGTTACCTGGTAACCAGGGACGCTGATCTGTCATTACTCTCCCCAGGACGCTTAGGGAGTCTCCCGCTATTAGATAGCGGCTCCCGGCTGCCCGGGAGAGAAACACTTTCTCCTGGAAAGGTTTACTCTGCTCGCTCGTGATTGACAGCAGAAGAGGGCGGGTGCAATAGCCAGCTTGCTATTGGCTATTGCAAATTGAAATAGCCAATAGGAATCTAGCTATGCATTCCTACGCCGACTTTTTTTTTATTCTGACGGCAGTAGCTGTCAGAATACTAAAAAAAAAACAACAACAAAAAACTTGCAGATAGCAAAGAAGCTATTGCTTCCTCTGCTATCTGCCATCATTTCAATTGTTTTCTATTTTTTTTCTTCTTTTTTAACTGTTTTTCTATTGCTTGGTACCACAGAGGTACAGAGCAGAATAGCCGAGCGCCGCTCGGCGGCATTCGGCTATTCACTCACTGCTGTTCGGCATCTATGAGAATAGGCCGAACATCAGCAAGTAGCCTGCCAAAGGTTCGGCTAAGCCGATCCAGATGTTGGATCGGCTGAGTCGAACGTCTTCTGCACTTCGGGTTGGCCGAACAGGTTGAGCTGTTCGGCCGACCCGAAGCCACCCGATGTATATATATATGGCTGATATCAGCTGTACAAGCCTAAAGTGAATAGCGTTCGGCTTACTTCACTTAGGGTCAGTTATGCACTCGGCTGCCTATGGCAGTTTTGGGAATAGGCTCAATAGAGTTCCCATGAGGATGCCACTGGTGAGGAGCACCTGGAGACACCAAGAAGAGGAGATGAGAACTCCCACCTCAGGGTCCTGATAACTGGTAGTGGAAGCATTAATTACTTCCAGAAATTAACATCTTTTCAAGGACTGGTGTAAATTAATCATCCTATAAGATCTCATAATGTGGCACCCGATATGATAACTGATCACCAGTCCACTGTCTCCAACGCCCCTCTGCACCAGGTGAATATGTATATATGTACAACTGCATATGTTGATGGAACACACAGCACTTTCTATGTAATGTTTTAATTACTGTTTTTATATATGACATCCAATAAATGTATACTTTTTTATATAAAAATTTTAATCTGTTGTGGTTTGGCACCAAGGCAGGAAGCAAAGGGAAATTTCCCCAGCAGGACACAAGCAGCTTAAAAAAATCTGACAGAGGTTTTAACCCTTCTACATTCTAAAGGCTATGTATACACTTTAGGCCAAAATGTTAGAAGTTTCCACTGGGCACAAAAGATATTTTGAAAGTTCATGCAGATATAAGGTAGTAAAATAGGTTATAGATTAAATCGTTAAGAGTGGTTATTCCAGTGTTCTATCTAATAATCTTATCTGAAGATAAAGAAATGAACAGAAAATTGGAGTTATTGATCAAATAGTATTTTTGTATGTTGTTTCCAAAAATGAAAGGCGTAACTGAATTAGTTGGTGCTGACTGCAACATCAATTTTGTTAGTCTTTTTCTCATGCTTTATTTTAATGTCTCAGCCATAAGGTCAGCACTGTCCCTATAATGAGGCAGCCTGAGTCGGTTGCCTCAGGCAGCATCTCATTGAGTCACGTGGGGGAGGAGGCAGGTGTGCCTGCCACACCCTTTCCGGCCAGTGCATCCCAGGTTGCTGAGAGCTCCTGGCAACCAGTGATGTCAGTGAGCTGGGCGGGATGCCAGACGCCAGAGGTTCCTTGCACCAGACAACTCCCCTTTCCCCACGGTAAACCTGAGAATCTAAGGGTCTGTTTCACTTCTGCTAACCAGAAGGTCTCTCTAATCTAATGGTAAAAATACATAGATCTACAGCATATCTGTATTTGGTCATTAGGTTGTGTGTATGGTGCAACTGGTTATATTGTTTCAATCTATTTTATTTAGTTTATGGCACTCTTTATATAAATGTGATTACTGTAATTTGGTTAACAATGAAACATAATTCTGGGTGTTTTATCATCCTTTTTGTTCATACTATTGGAATCTTTTAGCAATAATGTTATTGTGTGATATAATAACATATGAGTAAACGGATAATATTAGAATTACATTTTATATCGTTATTTAATAACATGAATGCATTTAAAACATTTTTTTTCACTTTTTGTAATAAATGTTTTATGACAGGAATATTAAATTCTCTTACTAGTTTTGTATGCCTAAAGAAGGAAGAGTGTTTGAACCCTCAAAACGCATTGGATTTCCTTCTACTGATTATCTAAAAAAACATAATTTTGAACTCTTTGACCATTAGTGTAGCGCACTTAAGCTGGCCATGCACTGTTATATTTTTTTCATTTAACCTGTGGGCTGAATAAAAAAATATAACAGCTTCATCCATCCATTCTAAACAGCTTGGGTAGGCAAATCTCGTGCTAGGCTGTTGTCAGAATACCTGAACAGTGACAGCAGATAATTGGCTGACATTCTGGTCTTCCCTATAGAAAGCAAACTGCAGTTCTGCATCCTGTGTTCTCACATTAAGCCTTGTGTCACATGACAAAGTCATGCAATCTCCTTCAATCACTGGAAATGGCTTCACTTTTAAATCTGGAGAGGTGAAGAGTTCTAGAAGAAAAAACACATCTACATTAAATGGAAATCTATCGTTGTCTGCCCAATCTTCCAGATGAAGCTAGACATTTTTCTCTACAAAACCTGTTAGGAATGTATACCAATGGGCATTCAAGACCTTATGTTCCTTCGGCTTTTTAAACCATTTCCAGATATCTCTTTATCTAGCGTCATTTGATGACCTAAAAAGACTGACTTTAAATAATAGACAGTTTCTTTGGAAGTGGAAGAAGAAGAATAGAGTTGAGTTTTGAATATTGACATCTAAAGAAATGGGGCTAGGTCTCCCGAATATAAGAGTCTATAACAGGGCTACACTTGTGAGAGTTGCTTTAAAATGGCTGGTAAATATTGACTGAGAAAATGTCCCTCTCCTTACTTCTTCATTCAAGGAGGTGGAGGTTTGGTTTGTGATTCTCCGTTTTTAGGGACAACCCATTAGAGCATGGAAATCCACCTGGGAGAGGTTGGCATTAAACATCCAGAATTCAAATCATTGTTTGCCCATTACTGGGAATTTAAGGTTTCTACCAAGATTAATATATAACATTTTGATAGATAGAATAAAGAGGGATTCCGGACTCTGAAGAATTTCCTGAGTGAAGGGTCCTTCATTTTGAAGAATGAAGGGTCCTGGGCTTTGCCTGGAAAACATGTGTATGTGAAGAGTCCAGTCCTAACATCCCAGGCCTCCAGCCTGGTTAAGTTACTACATGGAGGGGTCCTGAAAATGTTTTCTCAGGTATCCTCCTATGTTACTGTTATATAGGGTGTTGTAAAGAATGTGGACATAGATGAAAAGTGAAAATATAACAGGAACAAATGTATGCCATGTTGTGCTAGACACATACTTGACGATCAGTCTATGCTAGAACTCATTATTTCAAAGTCCCACTCGTGACGAATAGGTACAAAAACTCTTCACCTACTTTCTAAATGGAAACCACCTGAAGGGGTATTATTACAAAAATGGCTTTCCAACAATTTGGCCCCCGCTGCCATTAACTAACCAGGGCCGCTGCCAACTCTGGACCCTTCTTTGGAGTATTATTCCGATAATGTTCTAATATAGTTATTACATTTTTTCTGTATGGTTTAACAAGACTTACCTTTGACAGTAATGAAAGCTTCAGCAGTGTAAAAGTCATCCTGAGTGTAATACAATTTTTTTTTACATTTGTATTGACCAGTGTAATTTAGAGTCACATGCTCCAGATGCAAATTAATATTGCTTGTAGAAGACTTTATGATCTTGTCATCCTTATAGAAGACGACACCTTTGACAGTATAACCTGCAGGGTGACTGTAACATCTCAGAGTGATTGTATCTCCTTCATAAACATAGGGCGGGACTTCCAGCTTAATCAAGTCTGAAATGAAACATGCATTTTCATATGTCTTAAATCTAGGAATCCTAAAGAGACACAGTCAATAGGTTACATTTATATTGATGAACTATTTATTGAATACTGTAAATTTCTAACTTTATATTTGATCAAACATCATATACCTCCGCCACAACTTGAGTGGAAAGCTTTAAAATGCACCTTGTGAGGCTACATCACCCATCTCAAAAAGGCAAAATCAGCCACGATTCAGTCACTATTAACAAACCTCCACACCTAGGAAATTACCCACAAGAGCTTTAATGACACAACACATAAAATCACATAAAATCTATTGCTACAAAAATGCTCGAACTTTGCTAACTTAAGGAACGATCTTACTTCTGTTGTAAAAATTGTGCATTTTGCTTACAGATATGAGCAAGTTGCAGATGCATTTTATGAATATTACACAGAACGTTACAATAATCCTAGCCCTGACAATACCATCTCTGAGCTGGATAGACTCACTCCCTAGAAACCTCCATTACAGATCAGCAGATCCGGGCCACTATAACGTCCCTACCATCTAGGAAAAGGCCTAAACCCCATAGATCCACCAACACATTTTATAAGCATTTCTTCTACGCAATTTCTTCCTATTTTGAACACCATGTTTAAAGCCATGTCAGATATATGCCATTTTTCTGGACAATCCCAGAAGGCACATACATTTCTCATTCCCAAAACACAGGAGGACCCAATAAAGTGCTCCAGTAATCATTCAATATAACTCATTCATGTTGATCTGAAAATATACAGTACATAGGTTAAAGCAGACAGATTAACGTCCCATGTCCCATACCTCATAGTCTTGACTGAGTAGGCTTTGTCCCTTTTCAAGATGCTAGGGAAAATATAGTTAAGACTATCACTACACTCATCAATGTCACCTTCCTCTCTACCTGCTGTAACTGTTCAAAATGCTATTTTTAGCGTAATTTTTATTTGTCTAATCTGTGAAATAAGAGAGCCTTAAAGGCCTGGGGAGATGGCTGGGAGCAGAGGCTGGTGCAAGAGGAGAGGTCGTGGGTAACATAAGTGGACAATGCACCACATACTGTGTATCCTGCTGCCTTGACCCCATTTTCATTTTTTTCCTAATTGCTGCCCTTTTTTTAGGATCAAAAGCTTTATAATAAAATATAAGCATACACATTTCTGTTCACTATGAAATCAAAACTTACCTGAATATTCCATAAATGTGACTGCAAAATACAAAAAGGTGTATCATATGATTTGGCAATAAGTAATATTATATATACAGTAAGTAAACATGCTGTTTGCACTTACAGTTTGGTCTTACCATCCATTATGATGGTGTTCTTTAGTGGGGTAATGCTAACCTAAGATGATATTTCAGTTATAGGCCAGGGTTGGATGGTTACATTACTTACTAGGATCTTACATTTTGTAAGATTTTTTTCCTGTAGGGAAAGCGGTAGAGTAGGTGGCCAGATGTCTTCAGGCCAGAGGTAATAACAGTAAATTTCCTGTGGAGACTTCTCTGCTTCAATCAGACCCTCTTAGTCGCTGCTATCCAAAGCACCATAGAAGCAAGGGCTCACCCAACCCTCTTAGTGTGTCTGTTCTACACCCAACAAGTGCAAGTAGCACATGTCGTAGATATCTTTAAAAATTCCCCTGTCAGAGATTATGGCTGACTTCTATGTCACAGAGTGAGCACATTAATCTTTTTTTATTACATTTTCTAAATAAAATATGGACAAACAGAAAGAGTATAAAAAAAATAGAAAAATATAATATAACATTTCTTCAACAACTTTAAAGAAAGAGAACATATACAAATTTCAGTGTAGAAAAATATACCATGGGATCAAAACAGTTTAACCCAATAAAAAGGATAAATACCATACTTTCCAAGGTTTCCAGTATACATTGAATTTAACTAGGTTGGAATTCTGAAAAGCTAGAATTGGTTCATAGTTATAATGTAGGTGGATAATTTGTAGAACTTGGTAGATAGCAGGGGAATCAGAGGATTTCCAATTCCTTGCAATAATTAAATTGAGCTATTAAAAACACGTGTAATTATTATGCCAAAAGAGTAAGGAATACTATCTATTCCCAAATTTAATAGAGCTAAGGCAGGGTCAGGTCAGATCTCAACCCCTGGAATTTGAAACACCACTGAGAAAAGTTGGGACCAGAAAGAGGAAAGTTTGTTACAAGTCCAAAAAATATAGAGCAAGGTTCCAACCTTTTCACACTGTCGCCAGCACTGGTTAGAGTGATTAGACGAAAACTTTGCCAATCTATAGGGTGTAAGATACCACCGCAAAGTCAACTTCTTAGAGATTTCCCACAGGCTGACATAGTGCAAAGTGAACGACATGTACTGAAAAGCCCTGCTCCATTGGGGTATAATATACGTCTTATGCAAGTCTAATTTCCATTTAAGAAAAGAAGATAATTTAATAAACAGCAACTTGTCTTGAAGGACATGATATATTAGCGAGATTTCTTTCCATGCATAGAAGGAACGATGATAAAAAGACCATATGGAATCAGGTACTGGCAATGTAACAATATCTATTGTAGCAAGTAAATGTTTAATTTGTAAATATCGATAATATTCTCTACACGGTAGAGAATAAATCGTCGCCACTCCCTCAAATGATCTTAAAGTATTCCTGGTGTATAAGTCTGAAATCAGATTGACCCCATGGGAAGTCCAGGATTTTAGTGAGAAGCTGGGTAATTAATAAAATATTAATTTTAGAAGTACGGGTATTTTGGACATTGCACATATGTTTCCACTCTGATAAGAGCACATTAATCTTTCGAAAGCAATAGTTTAATGGACTGACATCAACAGGGGTTTATTGTAATACATTTTGTTATGCCCTGTATAATGTATTTACCTTCTGTCAGTTGTGCCTGGGCATAGAAAGACTGAATTCTAACCAGTCATAAATGCATCAAGCATTTCTCCAAACACTTCTGGAACAACATTGCTACAAAGTTACATAGCAAAGATATGAAGACAACCACACAACTTACCAAATACGAGGATCCCAGCTAAAGCAGACATGGTGACTGAAGCCTAAGAATACTTTCTTTTTTATTTAATTGTGTTGCTATGTCCCCGGCCCCCCACTGCTTCCTCTGTATGCCCAGACCACAGATATACTGCACAAAGACATGAATAGATAAAACTTATCACAGAAAGTTGTGTAAGGTGTCATCACCCAGAAAATCAGCAAATATGTGACAGGAAATTGTAAAAATGATAATGCTAATTGCTAATAATAATATACTGATACATACCCAGATAGCAAGCAATTGTGCTGCAAGTTTGAAAATGACTTGCTAAACTATTGCAGACTTGCCAAGCTTCACAATTTTATTGCACAATTACAGCAAGTCTGCATTGCAAGTCTCCAGACCAGCGAGCTTGCAGAGCTCTTGCTAAGACCTGCAGGACTGTGGCTGTAGACTTGCCAAGCAAATTTGCTACAAATTCAAAAAGTGTCAACTAGAAATTGTGCTGCAAGTGTTCTGCAAATCTACAACTTGCCAGGAATGTGTGTGGAAAGTTAACAAGAATTACAATTTAACCCTGCCACAAGTTTGTGGCAAGTTATCCTTGCTATCTGGGTATGTCCATAAAATGATCAACAGCATATTATAGGGAACACTGTCATCACACTCCAGTAACCCTATCTGGCATGTAAACAGACTACTGGTTAATATAGCAGCTGGAAGTATGTTTACATTTTCTTATGACTGCCAGCATTCTTGCAGCCCAATCACTTCTAAATCACAAGGAGGTGCTGCACCCACCGTCTACATGGGACCTTTATGGCGGGCTTCAGGAGGTCAGTTTGCTGGTCTCCCCTGGGTAGTATGAACCTGAAAGGGCTCTGATCACTTTTGGCTTCTGAGCTGTCAAACTTCAACCACTATAGCCAGTGAAGAAACTTACTGAGCACAAGTTCCAGTTTAGAGGCTTGACACATTTGGTATCTGTTTACTCAATGAGTTAAAATGCAGTACAATTATTGAAATCATTTCCAAAGAAAAATTCCCTCCTCTAAATGTTGAGCAGCTCGATGTCACAGGAGCCGGGAAACCAGACCACACGGAAACGCAGGTAAAATAAAGTTGTTTATTTAAAGGAACATAAATAAACATTCATCAGGGAGCAGCGAGGTCAGGAACAAGCTGGTCAAGTCCAATGCGGGTACATCTGCTGAGCCGGGATCATATCCAAAGTGGGTAGTCGTCCAAGCCGGGATCACATCCAAAGCGGGTAGTCGTCCAAGCCGGAATCAAGTCCAATGCGGGTACGTCTGCCGATGCGGGGTTGAGAGCCAGAGGAAACGTCAGTCTGGCCGGATCATACACAGAAACACACAAAGGAACTCAGACCGCCAAAGATGACCCTTCGAGCACAAACGCAACGGCAATGAACCTGAATCCTGAGCAGACTGATATAGTCAGGTGTTGCCACATCATCACTGTGCGACGCCCAGGCAGCAGGCAAGCGATGATGCTATCAGAGGATATAAGAGACTGCAGTCTGCACATGTCCAAAATGGCTGCCACCATGAGGACAAGGTAAGACCTTGACATTCGATGAACATCACATGTTTTTCAAAAGAAAAAAATGTGTATTACATTTATGGAGACCATCAAATCCACGTTAAAAATAAACAGATTTTTTATTTTTCACATTATTAAATAAATCTATAATCGAGTAGTAAGTGTCATTATGCTATAAAGGCTATCAGGGTTATTTACAAAAGGGTGAAGAGTTTGGGGAAGGCAGAAGTGAACACTCTAGGCCAAAATAGCTGAACTGGAGAATTTTTCCAGATCAGGTATTTTGTCCTAGATCACTTCTCCTGCCTTCTCCAAACTCTTCACCCTTTAGTGAATAACCCTGTATATTTTCTACATCAGCAACCATATAAAGCTAAAGTTAAATACAAGGTTTTGTCAAAAGTAGGAGGTTCATACGGGCAGCATGGTGAGGTGAGCCAACATGAGGACTCTTGGATATTTTACACCTGCATGCAATACCAGTTAATGTTGACTGGCATTGCATGCAGGTGTGAAATGCAATTTGGCCACCCCTTAGTTCACTAAAATATTTTTTTCGATGGACATATATATATTCTGCATTAGCATCTCAATATAAAAGATGATATGTTATAGTTGCAAACAATGTTTTTGAGAAATTGAAGTAACAGAATATTATATCTGAATGTCCTTATGGAAAATAACTAACAATAGCCAACAATCATGAGCACTTTGTTGGCCTTGTATACTTAATTAAATATAACCAACAGAGCTAATGATAAAAGATAAAGTGCAGGTTGACCTAGGTTAACAGAAAAACAGCTGTGTAGAGAGAATAAAACTTGTTGCAACCAAAAAGCAATTCATCTTAACTGCACATAAATCTCAATCCAAATGAAAGGACTGAGGTGCAGACTACATGGGAATTAGTGCCACGTAGTAGCTGGAGAGGCCAGTAGGCGTCTAGCTTCAGGAACCAAAATGTTCAAAACAAGACTTTAAGGTAACTTGGAAGATATGACCAGTGCCAAAATTTCTATCAGCCTCCCTAGAGCAAAGCTGTCTACAACAACCCATCTAACAGGCTTATACAACATTACTCTATGACAGCACATAGGAGAAACATCTAATTTTACTTCATGAAATGTAGTTCTAAAATAACACATATGATGTATTCATTCCAGCAAATGCAAAGTTATGAATAGGATCTCTTTATTAGGGGTACAAATTAAATTCATATTACTGTAACTTGTATATTTTTATCAGCCAATATGCTGTAGCAGCTATGAGTCACTCATTTTATCTTACATTCTCTGCAAAGCACTAAATTGTACCTGCACCTGTGCACACACACTTCACTAACAGACTTTTCTAAAAGGTTGCTTGATGCATTTTTTTCAAAAGCATTTTTTCAATTGGCAATATCTTTAAAGCACACATGAGATTTCATTAGTTGGCTTTATAGATACTTTAGCAAACTATGCTTGAGTTCTTTAAATTTCAGTGTGGGGTACATTTTCTTTTCTGTGTCTACAGATCTGCACTCCGAAAAATCCTTTTAAGGATGAATATCTGTCCGCAACAACTGATTAATAGCTAGCTTTCTAGCTTTTCAATTGTTACAGCTTGACAACTTTTGATTAATTGGGGTCTTTCACCTTTTTTTTTTGCATTATTTGAAAGAAGAAAAATGAAAAACAATGTTCACCTGAACCAACTCACATTATTTCACTCATATTCACTGTATATCCCAATTTCCATAGATAAAAAAAAGTTAGGCATTGTAAGAAAAGCCCTGTGAATGCCCAAAGTTCCGAGCGCATCTCGGCACATGTTCGGAAGCCCGTTCTCAAGGTCAAAAGTAACTGTGCACTGTACGAGTGCTCGCATGCGCATCAGAGGCTGTATGCGCTTTCCAGCAAAGAGTCACACAGAAAGTGACATCTAAGGAACTATATTCGAACGGACCTGCTGCACACTTCCTTTGCAGCGTTGAATACTGAAAAATGGCCTGGATGGGAAGGGGGTTTAACACCCCGGACTTAAAGGGTGTTAAAACCCCTTTCCTCCTCCTCACTGCAAGCACCTCAACCATCTTCTTCCTCCTCAATGCCAGCACCACAACACTCCTCTTTCTCTACCCCAGCACCCCAACCCTTATCCTCCTCCTCATTTTACTCCTCTACCTCTATTTCATTCCACATGCTGATCGGGGAAAGAAAGCACTGAATTTATCTCGTCAGCCTCCATATGCTTGTGGAGGACAGGGATGGCTTTCAGTGCAAAATAATGGTGGCTACAGGGATGGCGTCTGGTGTAGCACAGGCCACAAACTTGTGTAAAGGGTGTTTGGCAAAGCTGGTATTAGGATGCTGGAAATGGGGGTGACTGAGGGCCATTGTTTATTTCATTCCATCAGTAGACACATAAAAAAAAAGGGCCATTAAAGTGATATTAAAGTCAAAAGGTTTTTAAGCTATTTAAAATGCTGATTAAATCACTTACAATGGATGCTGCTTCCTGATGTTTAAAGGTTTTAGCTTCCTGTAGAATCAGCTGGTTCCCTGAGCACTAACCCTAATAACTTGGCTTAGGGTGGCTTCTTTCCCTCGCAGGGTCCTATGAAGCCACTCTTGTGTGTGCTAGTAAGCTGTGTGTATCTCCACACAAGCACAGAAAGGCAACCACTCCTCCTCCCTCATCCCCCCACCTCCCTCCTATCTTCTCCGAGCTAGTAGATGGACAGCCTCTGGAAACTTCTCTGCCCCTTGTGACAAGAAGTTCAGAGAAGAGAAGCTGAGAGAGTTGGAGCCAGCTGTCTGGAAACATGGTGACGGTATGTGCTTGGGTAAAAATAAAAATAAATATTTTGCTTGGCAATATACAGTATATTGGTTTGATATGGATTATTGAAAAAAGTTTGTGAGTTTAATACTACTTTAAAAGAAACACTGCAGACTTCTGGGGATAGCAGCGATCAAATAATTTCACCAGATCCTCAAAGGCAGTTGGCAGGGCTATGGCAGGACTAGCAGAAGAGGAGGAGAAGGAGCAGCACATGCTGGTTAGGGGGAGAAGGTTAAGGATAAGAAAGTGGTGGAGGGGGAATATGGCTACTTTAGCACTAGCATGTTTGCATTTTAGTTATTTAAAAACACAGAAGAAATTATCTGGTAAGTATACAAACACTGTATGCTTCCCAGATGAAGTTCTCCAGCATTTAGATGTAGCAGCCTTTAGGCGAGTTTCGCCATGTTTAAATGTGTTTATGTGCATTTAATGCATTAAACTGCATTTAGAGTTTCTAATAAGATCCTAGATACACAGCATCCTATTTTCTCAAAACAAAACGGAATGCACCTAAACACAGGTAAATGCACAGTTTTAATTATACCTTTAAAAATCATTATATACATTTAGAAATGTCACATACATATTATCTGTCAATGCCAGTGTGAATGAGGCCTTAAGAGGGCACATCTGCAACACTTTTACCTCTTACGCTGC